GGTCCCAAGCGTGGCCCCCTACCCCGCGCCAGCGCCCGCCAGGCCGCCGGCCCCCATGGAGCTGCTGGCAGCAGCTTTCAGCGCAGCTTGCGCGGTGGACCACGACAGCTCCACCTCGGAGAGCGACGCGCGCGACTCGGCTGCGGGACACCTGCCCGGCAGGTGAGGACGAGCGGCGGTCCCGACCCCCACGCGTCTCCCCCGCGAGTCTTTGGCCCCAGCTCGCATCCTCGACCAGGGACGCCGACACCCACGGCCTATGCCCCACCTCGCCACCAGCAGCCCCCGTTGTGCCGGCATCCGCCTCGGGTTAGGGGTGCGTTGGGGTTGAGGGTGCGTTGGGCCAGGACAGCCGACGCCCTCGCCCCTGCCCCGGGGCGTCTCCCAGGCGCCCTGGGTGCGCGCATCCCGCTCCGCGTCCCCTCTCCGCGTCGCAGGGCCCTGGGACGGGAGCACCGGAGCCTGAAGGGGACCGGGTGACTGCGGGCTGCACGGGGTGCGCAGGGCCGGCTGGACTCCTTGCCGCTGGACCCGTCGGGGTGTCCGGGCGGCGCCGCGGAGCGGGCAAGGCGCGCCAAGTTTCCGACGCCTGCCCTAGAGCTCCGAAAACATGAAGGTTTGGGCGGGCTGGTGTGGGAATGAATCACCCGGTCGCGCCCTGGTTCGGTGACAGAGAGGGCCTGTGGGGCCCGCCTGGCCTGGAGGGGCGGTGGCCTCTGCGGCCGCTCAGCCTGGACAGTCCCCGCGAGTCCAGCTGGCCAGGGCCCCCTGTGCGGATTCCTCTCGCCAGCCCGCCAAGATGTGTCGTCGCTTAAAAATAACCGACCTGCCCTGCTTCTTTCTGGCAGCGAGTCGTCCTCCACCCCGGGAAATGGGACCACGCCCGAGGAGTGCCCGGCGCTGGCCGACAGCCCCACCACGCTCACAGAGGCCCTGCAAAGGATCCACCCCATTCCCGCCGACTCCTGGAGGAACCTCATCGAACAAATAGGTGGGTGTCCCATCCGCGGGAAGTGTGGGCTGCTGCTGGACTCTGCAGGGCCCCCTGCTTGTGCGAAGCCCTTGCATTGCTGTGAGCAAATGTATGTGACGTGGCTAAGGAACGTTTTGACATATTTTGTTTTACATGGTTCCACATTTATAGTGCTTTATAATTGGCGTTAGCAAATGCATTTCTGTCCTGCCCCCTCCTGAGAGGTCTACCTGCCCAGCCCTGTCCTGGGAGAGGGCTCTGTGTCCCCTTTTCACTTCTGCCAGAGAGACCAGAGGTGAGGCACTGCTGTGCCACGCAGGAGTGGCGGGGAGGGCCATGAGCTACAGCCGCGCAGGGGCCTGAGGAAGACTTGGACAAAGAGACTCTGCAGAGGAGAGCCAGGCTGACAGATGCCATTCAGGAGGAGACAGTGGTAGACTTTGCACAGGGGGAGAGGCAAAGGAGAAGGAAAGTGGGAGCCCCCTGCCCCAGGCCTCTGTGTTAGGAAGGGGAGCCCTGCTCTCCCTGCCTGTCCTGGAACACGGCGGGGAGGTGTGAGGTGCAGCCTGGGGGCGTCCAGCTTTCGCACAGCTGCAGCTGACGCCCCATAAATGCAGAATGTGGATTGAGAAGGTGTCCCAAGAATGGGAGCACTTGCATTTAAAAGTCAAAAATTGCTAATGACATAGAACTAGTTCTCATCGTTGTCACCAGAGGTGGCAGTGAATGGGTAATGTGGGTTCCGTTATTCAGAAAATGGTACCGGCTGCTTAGAAAATCATTTTGTTCTTCAGTGTCTGCAGAGCAGCAGACATTCTACTTGCCAAATCCAAATCCTAGGTTTAGAAAATTGCTTCCCTAAACATAATTATTGTCCTCTATCCCACATGCTCAGATAGACACCAAGCGCCTCGAGTGGAAGCGGAGCGTCTGTTGCCCCAGGAGACCCTGCCTTGGGGAAACTTTGGGCGGCCCACTCTTCCCTGGCAGGGGTTTTTCCAAACTGAACCCCGAGAGGAGCTGAGCCCTTGCCAGGCTGAGGGGGTGGTACATACACTGCACGCTGTTAGGCTGCTGACTCCAGGAGCCTGTCAGGCCGGGTGGCGATGGTGGCAGCGGCTTTCTCTTTGTTTGCGGATAGGAGAACAGACTCCTGAAAACCCCTTTCTCCCACCTCCCTGCCACATTGTGCTTGGTGGTGAGGAGAGCCACCTCTGCCCTGACAAACGCTGAAGGCCTAGGCTTCCACCATCTTGAAAGGAATTCTCTTTGGCTCAGGTCAATGTCATGACTAGGGAGGAAATGGGGTGGAGGGAGCTCTGAGCCTCTTCTTTCGGGAGACAGAGCCTCCCATCTGCATTATGGGCATGTGGAGACATCTCTCTCGAGATGACTGGACCTGCTGGGCCAGTGCCATGAGCCCAAAGTCAGGGGCCCTGAGCGCTGGTGCCTGCCCATCCTGGCCCTCGGTTTCCTCACGTGGTAAAGTGTAGAGCCGTGGTCCCCAACCTTTTCGGCACCAGGCACCGGCGCTCCTATGAGAATCTAACACCTGAGGATCTGAGGCGGAGCTGAGGCGGTGATGCCGGCGCTGGGGAGCGGCTGCAGGTACAGATGAAGCTTTGCTCACTCCCCGCTCACCTCCTGCTGTGCGGCCCGGTTCCTAACAGGCCACAAACCGGTACCGGTCCCTGGCCCGAGTGTTGGGGACTCTGGTAGTAGGGACTGGCATTTGAGTCTTTTCTCCCATGGCCTCCTGCCAGTATCTGTTGGTATAATGGTGACTCTTGTTGTGGTTCCTGGGCTGGGCCCATACTAGGTGCCCAGCAGACGAAGGACAGCACAGCCGTCACTGTCTTCTTCTCACGCCCTTCATGACAGACTTGAGGCCTGTGCTAGGCAGATCCCTACACCAGCCCTGCCTGTTTTTAGTTTTGTGAATGAAGTAAAGTCTTTGCCAGGTATCAGGAGAGGATGACAGGTTCCCAAAGACACAGTGGGCCTGAGGGGGGAGAAAAGTGAACTGAATACCTGGGCCTCTTGCAGGCCGCTGTGTTGGATTTTGCAGTGGCTCCCACAGAGGCCAGAACAGAATTATGCCAGGGTTATTTATGATGTGGTATACAGCCGGCATCATAGATCATGGGCCCTGAATCCCTGTGATTGGTGGTGTGCGTGTGTGTGTGTGCGCGTGTGTGTGTGTGCGTGTGCGTGTGTGTGTGTGTGTGTGCGCACGCGCACACGTGTGCACATGTGTGCATACACACTGTTACTGTTGTCTCTGACACCTAACAAATGCTTGGCACATAGAAGGTACTTGGTATAAAATAAAATAAATCCCTGCCCTTTAGAAGTTTCTATTGGAAAGATTCAAAGAAAAAAATTATTCTCTTCAGAGAATGTGATTTTGAACAACTCCAGAGGCTTTGACAAGAGGAGCTGGGAGCTTACATTCTTGTGCAGGGCTGCACAGCCAGCCTGGAATAGATCATTTTAATTAGAGGAGATGGGAACTGAGCCTTTAATTCTGCATGGATATAATACCAGGTGCGAGATTTTAGAGGTAAGGTTAATTCCCATATAGAGTTGTGCTCGCTGAATGTGCAAGGTATAAAATAGGAAAACGTGATGTAGTAACAGTACATCAAGTACAGAAATTTCATCAGATAACATATAGTTTCTCAGGTAAAGCTACTCTATTTCTCTTTTAATCTGAATTTTAAAGCTAATAAACAGGTTATGAAAAATGGTTACACGGCGTGTCTAACGCCTTGTAATCACAGTAACTTCGGGAAAATGGGTTTTTAAATTCGTATTCTAAATACTTCGGGAAGAAGAATAACGTTTGAAGAAAATTTTAGAATTGCATGTATTGGGAGTCTTTGGCTGAGACTAACAGAATATCCAGCAAAAATGACCTCAAACAATGGAAGTTTTCTATCTCCGTTAATGAGCCCAGAAGTAGGAAGTTCCAGAGTTTGTTCCTTCAGCCAAGCAATCACCCAGCTCCTTTCCCTCCGCTATGCTCAGCATTTGAGCTTCATGTCACAAGGTGGCTGCCAAAGCTCCAGACATCACATCCTCAAGCAGTCATGTGCAAAAGCAAAAAAGGACAGTTTGTCTTCAAGTGTCTATTGGGGAGGGAACATCTTTTTGAGAAGCCCTTCTCCAAGATGTAAGCTGTCCCCTTATTTTCCTCAGCCAGGTTGTGTCACAGGCTCATGTCTAAACCCACCACTGGCCAGGGGAAGGGAACTATCATAGCAAGTTCTAATCGGTCGACATTCATCCCCTTCCCCAAGCACAGAATGGTCAGCACCCAAAGAGAACCCCTCCCCTGCCAGCTGGGAAGAAGGGGTGTGAGAGGACAGAGAAAAGGCAGCCAACAGTGTCTGCCACAATGTGATCCTAGAAATGTTATTTTCAACCCAGCTGCCTACAATGTTGATATTTATGTCTCTTTTCAGCATATTAAGTTGGAGATCATTTTCATCCATGACTTGCCAACCGTTGCATACATGAGACTTATTTTCGAACCTTCAAAAAAGTTAGACACTTTTGTGAAGGTCGGAAACTGCATTTTTAAAAGGTGTTCAAGTCAACAGATACTTGCTTATCTACTATGTGAGAGAGGCACTGTGCTGTGTTGAAAAGTGACCCCAAGTCAGCTGTGGATACCTGGTTTCTTTAAACCTCCATAAATATAGGATCAGAACCACAGGAGTGTCATTGCTTCAATGTCAGCAAAACTTGTGACTTCATGCTTATGACTGAACCAGTGTATGTGGCCATGTTAAACCTCTGTCTTTATGGACCTTCAATCTGGATCGCATTTAGCTTAGACTTTGATTTTCTTTTTCATTCCTTTGTCAGATTAACTCCGTGTTGTATTCTGGTGGATCATAACATTGCAAACTTACGAGGCCTTATTTATTTCTTTTTTTTTAAGTAAATGCTACAGACTCACGTAAAGGCTTTGTAATTTAGTGTCATGGAGCATAGGGAGCCAACTGTTTTAATCCACAGGGCACATTTATTGCGTTCCTGTTTATGAATCTAATCTATCCAGCCGCATTCAAGATTTCAAAGTTAGTCGGTTTTTCTTCCCTTCTTTTTTCTACTGTTTAGATATATTTAACAATTAGATAAAGAAGGAATAATAGCTAACATTTGTACTGCATTACAAGAGAGAGTGCTTTTGTACAAGTGGTACATTTATCCTTACCAGAAGTCTCCTGGGAAAACCATCTTTGTTTTACAGACAGACATATCGAGGGGCCCCGACTGCCCTCCAGACCAGTGTGTCTGGCTACCCACCGGACCTCTCCACCACCCCCTCCCCCCGTTGGACCCTCCACTTGAGTTCCTCATCTCCTCGAATGGGGCCACCTGACCTTGTTGCCAAACTGGTCACCTGGATATTATCAGTGATGCAGCAGCACCAGCCAGTCCCCAGGACCCGCCTACCACCTTGTCACTGTCCCCCGAATCAAGCATGGCTCTGTCCTTCCATCACCACTGCACTCGGGCCTCTGTCATCACTTTCAGACGGAGAAGTGTCACAGCCTCTTTCTTCCCATCCGTGGGCTTCCCCAAGTTTAGACCAGAGCTGCTTGCCGGAGATCTCTTGGGGCCTCCCTCTTGCCCACAGGACGCACTGCCGCCTCCAGGGCACAGCAAGCAGACAAGACCCTTGGGGTCTGACCCCCTCTCCTCCCAGCCTCACTCCTGGCAGGATTCCCACTCCCCCTCCCCAACCTGCCCCTCTTCCCCTCTGCCTGGGCTGGGACCCACCTTGTCACTGAAGCTTTCTGCCTCTCTGTACAGGATGTCCGAAATGAGTTTTTCCCTATGGAGGTGCTACCTCTGGGCTGCTCCATATGTACCCCCAAATCACCTTGGAGACTTGTAATGAACTTATTTCAAGCGCAATTGGTCAGGGAAGGAGGTCTGAAACTGCGAAAGCAAAAAAGGAATGTTTGTTTCCCTTTTGAATCCTAAAGCTGCTGAAATATTTTTTCCTTCAAAATGAGAATTGACAACTACTCCCAGTTCACAAATGAATATACTTGGGTTTTAATAAGGAAGCGTTTAAGGCTGTGGAAAGCATCCTGTTGGGATGTCCAAATGTAATTGGGACATTTCCATCCACTCTGCACACACTGGTTATTAAACATCAAGTTGTAGATCCTCGTCGTTTGCCAGGTGCACATGGGGAAAGCGTGCATTTATGTGATTGGATTTTTAGATCAGTTCGGGGATCTCTTTATTCTTTGTTGAAAAAACTCGCACATGCCGATCCTTGCGGCCGTGTACTCCGTGGTAGAGCCCTTCCCGAGACAGGTGTGGGTCTGGCCGTGTGTCACAGGCAGAGCCCTTGCCCTGAGTAAGAGAGCAGAGGTTCGACTTAGAGATTCGGAAAGCGCGTCATTGGAAATTATTTACTTTTCTTCATTCCAGTTCTATCTGATTTCAGGGCTCCTGTATCAGGAATACCGAGATAAATCAACTCTCCAGGAAATTGAGACCAGGAGGCAACAGGATGCAGAGATACGAGCTAATACCCCCGGCTCCCCGGCCAGCGAGGAGATGGATGGTGAGGAGGAGGAAGAGGAGGAGGAGGAGCTGGCCAGCCCGCCGGAGAGGAAGGCTCTGCCGCAGATCTGCCTGCTCAGCAACCCCCACTCGAGGTTCAACCTCTGGCAGGATCTCCCTGAGATTCGGAGCAGCGGGGTGCTGGACATCCTCCAGCCCGAGGAGATCAAACTGCAGGAGGTAAGGGGCGCCTAGGGCGGGAGGCGGGTCACTGGCGTGGGGAGAGGCCCCGCCCCCGCGGGCTCGTGGGAAGATTGAATGACTGGCAGGGTTCTCCACCTAGAACATGCAGGAGAGTTCACACGAGTGCACAAACAACACCCCATTGCCTCCTGGGATAGCCCGGTCCCATTACCGAGTCATTTCACTCGCTGTTTTCGTGGTCGGGACTCTCCTGGCGCACGGACGCCAGCGTGATCGGCGCAAACGGACTGTGAAATCGCTCTAGTCACCGGTGCTTTGCTTCTCACTCACGGTCTTACCTGCAACTTCATTCTGCAGTCGCCTGAACCTCGGAAGAGTGGAGCGGGGGCTCTGACAGAAGGCCCCAGGCATGCCCACCCCTGGGACCGGGTGCAGAGACCTGGCACTCAGGTCTCTTCCCCTCCCACATGTGGTCCAGGCAGGCTTCCCCATCCTCGTGGTTTGCTGCTAGTGGGGAGAAGTAACCGATGACAAACGAGCCGTAGCAGTAGTGAGCAGCTAAGACATCTCAGAGTTCAGTTTAGCTGAGCGGAGATTACCTGGGTGTCGAAGGCCAGTCTGGCCGAGAGAGCCGAGGCCGGCAGAGAGCAAAGACAGAGGTCAGACGGGAGAAGCGGGGAGCACGCAAGCATGGGTGTGCTCTGAGATTTTAAAAGCGGGGATCGAGGGGAAATGAAGAGATTGGGTTTTTCCACCTTGATCGGTCCGAAGTTTGTCATCTGTCCTGTC